AAATTGTTGAAGATTATGCAGTAAAATTTAAATTTGTTTAAATATTGTACTATTTTAAAAAAAATAATTATAGTACTATTTTTTAAAAAATAATTATATTGAGAGTAAATCAGTTTGTTTAAATAGGGAATGGGAAAGGGACCAAAGAGAAATGGGATCGAGACGAAGATTGTATTCCCGGACTTCGCTCTCATCGAATTTCCACCCTGTCTCATCCTTGCTTTTTAACATGTAAATATAAATATATATGTATATTATAAATTTATAATAAATAATTTCTTTATATTTGTTTTGCCTTAAGTTACATCTTATAACTAGTTTTAATATTATAATTGTAATATTTAAAAATTACGTAAAATTTTCATTTATTTTAAAAATTATATTATATTATTAAAATTTAATTTTTTAAATATTAGGTTGATAGACATTATAATTTATTTTTATTTGTGAACATGATATTAGATTTTTTAAATAAAATTTATATGGTAAGAAATAAATTATGTATTAAAAATATTATTCGAAAAATTAAATTAAAAAAATAAAAAATATTTACTATAAAATGAAATTCAACCAAAATAAATGAAAATTTTAGCGAAAATGTAGAATGAAATAAACGTTAGCGCCACCTCGCCCTGCTCCATCTCTACCTAGAGTCGACTTGTTATCGGTTCGAGCCGACTCCTATTGGCTTGGGTTCAGCTCTCGCACCAATTCTCACCACCGTGGCTCACCATCGATCTCTCTCTCTCTCTCTCTCTGCGCAGGGTTTAGTCTCATTCACACTACCGTCGATTCTCTCTCCCAGCGTTGCCGTCGGTTGCTTTGACACGCGGCTGGTCTCTCGGATTCCCGCTTCCTCTAGGGACAGCACCGATATCCTCAGGTACAAGTTTTTCTGGGTTTTAAATTTCTTTTTAAGTTCGAGGAACTTGGAATTGTGATTTTCTTTGATTAGTGAGTGTGCAAACGGATGATTTGGATTTTTTGTGGTTTTTTCCCCTTAGATGTTAAGATAATGAGATGAAATTTCTGGTATTACCTTTTGTCTGAGCTTTCTATATCGTTTCATTGTTAAATATTGCAAGTGATTATTAAAACTGTGGGAACAAAACTTGATTAATCGTCTTCAAATTTATAGTGAGAAATGCCTAGGGGGATTTCTTTCTCATGTAATTTTCTTCTGTTCTAGTTAAAATGAAATAGGAGAAAGCAGAAATTTATCGAACCCAATCACTTAACTGGACTACGAGTGTGTAATTGTTTTTGGTTCGGCTCAGGTTTCATTTGAAAATGTCAGTGTGGCTCAATCTAGTTTAGTATGTAAGGGTTTGGTGAATCGGTCTGATATCCAAGTTCTTTGTTGCCCATTGGTATGATTTGTAACTGATTGGGAACTATTGCATTGGAGCTGCTAATGTATGAAGTTATTTGATTAATTATGAAATAAATTTATTTCCATTGTTTAAAAGTCTTTGAATTGAAAGTTGTACATGATGAAATAAGAACTTTTTAAGGATTTTGATCAAACTTGTTTTGAATTATCGAGTTGCAGATACTTTCCACGAGTATGCTTTGTTCTTCGTTAAATTTATCTTTATTGTTTCCTTTTTCTTTTGCAGCATATTCAAATGAAATTATGGTCGCGTGACAACTAACTATGCTACAAGAAATATAGTTATATGGCAAAATCTTTGTTTCATAATCTTCGCAGAGCTTCTCTGCTTTTCAGGTCTTCATCTCTGAACCAACCATTTTTCAGGTACTTTTCAGTCAAGGTTCCTCCATCTTCTTAATATTATCGATGTGTTGTACTTTTGAACAGCAGTTTTCATCTTCTTTTCCTTAGATTTTCCACTCTAGTGATAAATTTCTTTGTTGATCCATTGCTTTCAAAAAAATTTAACCTAGCCAACCGGGTTTGAGATTGGAAGAAAATGGCTTGTATTTGACTTTGAAAGACAGAAATAGTGTAGAATATATAACTTTTGATGAATTTTCTGGTTGAATTTTACTGTGTTTACATCATATATTCTGTTGCAGACCTGTTCTTGGGGTTCCTGACTCTACTTTCTCTCGTATAAAAAACTTTCCTCTGCTGAACATCTCAAAACCTTTGTTGGGATTTAGAAATTTAAGCTATGGTTCCGTGAATCTTGTCATATCCCAAGGGAAACCAAAGTTTGAAACACATGAAGTGGATCCTCCAAAAAAAGATAAGTGGAAGACTAAGAAAAAATTGAAGATGCAGCGAAAGAGAGAGAAGCAGAAAAGAAAAGCAGCAAATAAGAAAGACCCTCGTCAACTGCGTGTAAAGGGGAAGAAAAAGCAGAAATTTTCAAATGCAGAAGAGAGAATCAAGCACAAGCTTGAAAAGGTAAGTAAAAAAAGAATGGTTTCAGAATGTTATATGGGTCTATATTGTTAAAGTCCAGCTTATTTTATGGTATCACCAATGTTTTTGGCGAAGTTTGCTCATTTCAAAAGAAAAAGAATTACTTTATGAGCATTTCTCTTCATTCTGCTGCTGAACTGCAGCGAGATGGTTTTCAAATTAATGGATGTTGGAAATTTTTCATATGATTTCAGTTACAGTTATAGTGATTTTGCTGCAGGCCAGGATTAAAGAAGCATTACTGATTGAGAGATTGAAACGGTATGAAGTTCCTAGAGTTCAGGGTCCTGTGGTGGAACCACACAATCTGACTGCAGAGGAACGGTTTTATATGAAGAAAATGGGTCAAAAGAGGTCTAATTATGTACCTATTGGAAGAAGAGGAGTTTTTGGAGGTGTGATTTTAAACATGCACATGCATTGGAAGAAACACGAAACAGTTAAAGTTTTTTGCAAACCTTGTAAACCTGGCCAAGTGCATGAGTACGCACAGGAAATTGCAAGATTGAGTGGAGGAATCCCAATACAGATAATTGGTGATGATACTATCATCTTCTATCGAGGAAAGGAATATGTGCAACCAGAAGTTATGTCACCAATTGATACATTGTCTAAGAAACGGGTTAGTTTTTAAAATTTTCAGTTTTCATTAATGTATATGATGTCTTTTTCTTTTCTTTCTCTTTTTTATAATCGGAGTTCGTGGGCCAGTGCATCTTTATTTAAGACATAATAGTACGGGAGGATATCAGTAGGACTATTTGGCTTTTCGACCATAAAATATGTGCGTGGGAGTCGGCTGTGTAGTTAAGTAATGGTATTGAAGTTAGAGAAGTGTGAGTTTCTCCTAAGCATATACTTTTCGTTTTTGGATTGATGGAGTGTCAAATACATGGGAGGGAGAATTCAATCCTCTCCGGAGAGTGTAACGGCCCAAGCCCACTGCTAGCAGATATTGTCCTCTTTGAGTTTTCTCTTTTGGGCTTTTCCTCAAGGTTCTTAAGGCACGTCTGCTAGGGAGAGATTTCCACACCCTTATAAAGAAGCTTTCGTTCTCCTCTCCAACTGATGTGGGTCTCACAGGGAGTTTGTCAAGTTTTGACTCTTGTTGTGTGATTCCTATCAAGCTGTCAGTGTCGGTACCTAGAAAATAGTGCAGCTTTTCCATTTTCATGTTTAGATTAGCTTGATCAGAGAATAACGTGCTGACATTAGATTGTTGTACGAAAAGCTTTCATTTAACAGCAAATACCAAATGTTGCAAACTTGGTCTGTCTAATTAGATTTAATAGTTGTGTTATGGTATTGTTGGCCTTTTGTTATCCAATCTGTTTGCTGCATGTATGCTTAAAACCTCAATGTTCATGTTTATGTGGATTCTGTTTGTAGGAAATTGATTATTAATAAAACATACCAATGGCTTCCCTCCTTGCAGGCACTAGAAAAGTCCAAGTACGAGCAGTCCCTCGAGTCTGTTCGCCGATTCATTGCCATTGCTGAAAAGGAACTGGAGCTATATTACAGGCATGTTGCACTTTATGGTGACCCGAATGATAGGAATCCATTGTCCATCTTAGACCTTCCATCTGACAACTTGAAGAACTCACTGAAACATCAAGTCGATGAAATGGAAGACTCTCATTCTGCTGCTCTTTGCTTAGCATCTGATGTTATGAACAAGCGAAATCCTGAATTTTCGGATGACGAATCATTAGAGATTGGAGAAGAATTTGCAGATTCCTGCTTTTCTACAAGTGAATCAGAATTTGAAAGTGACATATTAGATGATTTTGAACATGGGAGGATCGAAGGAAGTTTTTCTCAGACAGGAGAGATGTCCTCAACCACAATGAACACTTGTTCAGCTTCCCAGAACAAATTTGAGTTTCATAACCAAGAACTACCAATACACATAAAAATGACATGAGACTGCAACCTGATTTTTTGTTCGACTTCAATGGATCTATGATCCAATGAAAACATGAGTTCATAGATGTATACCCAAACATTTTCAGAAATTATAGTAACTAACCGTTTCTAAGATGATATGAGCATGGGAAAATTTGACCTGTTTTTTCTAAAACTTTCAAGAACTTTCAATTTCATTAGATGTCTCATTTTGTTGTAAGGAATATAGAAAACCTCCTGGTTTTGATGAATCCTGAGCTATGAAATTGTTTTTAGTTCAAGTATTGAAGGGAGGAAGGGCATGTGATGGGTACTTTGGTAGCTATTAGGGATGTACATTCAACTCGACAATCCGGACCAACCCAACCCGAACTAGGTTCATTTTTTCTGAACCCAAAAATAGAGGGTTGGGTTGTGAAAAGTTTTGGGTTGGGTCAAACAAATCTCTCAACTCAACCTGGACCATGTACACCCCTAGTAGCTATCAAGTACTATGAACGTTACAATAAATGGAGGAGTCGATGATTTGAATCTCTAACTTCAACAAAGTAGTAACTATGGTCATAAAACTATGCATTCCGACGATTGTAGGTACTAAACCGATCTTCATCAAGATCAAAACTTACCGTACCAAATAATATACAAGGCAGAAAGAAAACAGCATTAACTAAAATGAAAATGAATTGGGACATTCTTAAAATTAGATGAAACTGTAAATTGTTGCTGTTTTTTTGTATTAAAGATGGGGGTATCCCATTCTGAAAATCCATCCAATCAGTAATCTTAAATCCAAAATCCAAGCTCTCTTTCTACAATATTCTAACACTATGGGCTGTAACTCTAAATCTGCAATGTACATCAGCCGCTTGGACAGTGATCGACCGGGAAGAACCCCATGAGAAATCATACACTCAAAATCTTCATGGCACGGCTAGATCAGTCCCCTCTTGCTATAAGTTCCCTCCTTTGCCAGACTGACGAATCCTAAATCCTACAACCGAGGCCTGTGTATAACGGAAATTATTTATGATGATGGTTAATATTCATGTGTCGGAGCTGGAAGATCATCGTCGAGGCTGGGCGGAGATAATGGCGGGGTAGCTGAGAGGTCAGAGTGATCGTCCAGAATTTCCAGGACCCTTCTGGCAGTTGCTTGAAAGTCCCCCCTATTAATAATACCAACCTTTCGAGAAGATATAACCCCGGATTCAATTGGTCTAGAAGAGTTACTAATCTTCACAGATGATAAGACTTGATCTTTGGCCGATTTATGATGAACAGCAGAAGAGATTACAGAACTGAAGATGCCAGAATTCCTCAATCCTTGAATAATGATCTGTGGACAGAATAAAAGACATTTGAGTTTATCTTGCACCGTGCATCTTTTACACAAAATGTTTGGTGATTACAAGTTGAATATGAAAGAACAGATGCAATTCAACTCACCATAGGTGCATAAATGCGAGTCAGAATACCCTTTCTTAAAAGTTTCAAGGTCAGTGCTTTATCAGTCCACACAACTCGTTCACGATACCTAAAACCGACAGGAAATTGTTAAAAGCCATGATTTATGTAAATCTGAAGTATAAGGTGAGAGAGTTCATAATGGACAGTAGGAACGAATGCTTGACATGATATCTCACAACTATTATCTATAGAATGGATTTGCCAGTGACCAATATTCAGAGAAGTATTGAAAAAAAACTTGGAAGTAAATTACCATCAGAAATGAGACGATGGAAACACCTGCAAACTAGACTATGTGTACTTGCTATTTGTGATTTTAGAAAGAAATATCCAATCCATTGACCATTGAGTGGAGGTTCTCTCATTAAAATCTAAAGTAGTCATGGGATGACCCATTCAGTTGAGATTTAATCCTCTCGCTGTGCAATCTCTGATAGCCTTGAGATTTAGATTACATTCAAACCAAATTACTCGTGAGGATTCTACATTTGCAAGACACGAGATTCATATCTGGAAACAACGAAATAGGAGATGGAAGTTATACTATTGAGCATAATAATTACCAGGCTAGCATTTCTTCCTCTGTTGCAGTAGAAGCAATTATGAATGCCTGTAAAGAATACGGTGTGGAGATGTCATTCGTCATCGGCAAGAATCCAATAGAGAAGAACAGTAATGATTTAATGAACAATTTAAATAATTATGTACACAAAAAGGGTGATGAAAATCAGGAATTCATGTTATATATCCTAGAGCAATAGGTACTCCCATTATTATGAAAATCAGGAAAATTTTAGTGATAAGCCCACATTTGTCTACTCAAAATACATGGGGAAAACAAGGTATAAAGTTTTTGTTCATAGAAAGAGAGTCGTTCCATCTACATAAAAAGATTGGACAATAAGTTAAAACTTATTGGATTAATATTTTTTGTAGATGAAAAACTCTCCGTCCTCTGAAGATTATATTGTGTATCCCAAAGCCCACACCCCAGCCAACCACAAAAAATGTCCTTTTACACAAAAGGTTGGAAGAAAGAAACGTTCCTCAAACACCTCCCCGGAACTCCGGGGGCTAAAAAAGATAAAGGTAGGCTAAACACCTTGAACACTTCCTCATGCAAAATCACAACTCGACATGATATGATTCAGGTTCTTCGATGCAAAGAATACAACAATTAGGTCCAACTACAAAAAAACCTCTAGCAAAGATTCGATTCAATGTGTCAACTCTTTCATCCAAAACTTGTCACACAAAGAACTTCACCTTTATGGGAATCTCCGCCTTCCAACTGAGGAGAAAATAAAACCACCCACCAAGGAAGGATTGGACAAGCATTGAAAAAAAGAGTTGTATGAAAAACCTTTGTGGTTAGGAGTTCAAAGGTGGGAATCACCTTTCCCTGACCAAAGGTCAACAAATGAAGAGCCGAGACATTTGACATTACCCTATAGGTCAACAAATGAAGGAAACCCAAGGAAGGAGAAGGCAACAAATCCATCTGACCAAAGATTGAAGCAACCAAGTGGTTCCTGAAGGAAGATAAATAATATGAATGAGGAACAAGAAGCAGAGGGGTTTATCCTCCAACCACATGTCGTCCCAAAATGTATTTATCTTGCTTGTCCCCAATGTCAATTATGAATAAACAGAGAAAAAAATATGAAATTCAAATGCCATTGCTTTCCACGGGTTTTTGGAAGTGTCTTTAACCCCTCATCGGTCCACTCAAAAGGATGAGACAAGGACTTGATCACAGTAACCCTGTGCCAATGGGTACCGACAGATATATTTAGCCAATAGGGTTGTTTCTTGTCCTAACATTCCTGATGCCTAAACCCCCAAGTCCAAAGACCTAGAGACCACTTACATGCACCAAGTGCGAACCCTTCCTCTCATCCAACCCCTAAGTTTCTCCATTTCCATCCAATTGAAGATGAGACTCCAATGAAAAAAAAAAAAAAAAAGTAAATAGGGATGCCACTCAAGTATATATATACACTCAGCATATCTGATGGGATTCACGACAGATCTTTTTCCAATTCTATTAAGCTTAAGGATGGCTTGTCAAGGCTAATTCTTCTCTCCCCATTGCGGGACTTCTTTGGTTTAAAACTAACTTGATCATAACTAAAAAATCATTCTGAATATATATACAAATCCTCCATCTATAATAGCATGTAAATACTAGTCTAGATTGTCTCTACATACCAAAGTTTCGAGACTTAAAAATAAACAACATAATGAGTTAGTGGAGCACAAGTAACAATTGCAATGGCTCAACTTAAATGAAAAGGCAGTAGGGGGGGACGCTGAGGGTAGTGGAACTCACAGCTCTATCAAAGTCTAACATAAAGCATCTTTTAACATCATCTTTTGTTGGTTTGCAGCCACATCGATCACGTCTTGAAGTCAAATCAGTAAATTTAGTGTATGTGTAATGTAGAACAGCAGCTTCTTCCAATTTTATCTCACTATCATTGTTAAATACATAAGCATTTAGCGAAAAAAGGGGAAAAATAAATAAAGATTTCTATGAATCCAAGTAATGGTTAGCTATACTGCTTAATAAAAGAATGATGACATAAAAGCAATTTAAGACAAATAAAAATGTGTGTACACATCAAAAAGATAAAATAATAACATATACTTGGGATTCTTCATGTAGTTGTGCCATCGATGTGCGCCATTTGGACGAAGATGGTCTTGAATCCGAGCAGCTGATTTTCCATTTCCATATGTCAAGAAATAGTTTGGATTGCCACGGAGTGCATCTTTGTAATTACCGAAGTATATATCTTTTGGGAGATGGTCATAATTCTTTTTAAACATCGATACCTGAACAAGCATAAAGGATTAACAATGAACTTGGCCAGGTTCAACTACAAATGGTTTAGCAATCCCAGCCTATGAATTTATGGTTCTACCCAGACTCTTCTCTGTTCCATAGAGATACAAACTAAAATATTCTATAACAGGCTAAACAAGAAAATGAAGATCTATTGAAGGCGAAGCACAGAAAAAAGTAACAAGATGCAAATGTCGTAATGAGACTAGGTCTGAATCCATGTGAATCCATTAATCACAAAGAGGAGCCTCTGCTTTGAAATTTTAGAGAGTGTGAGAGATTACTAACAGAAGAAATCGGTAGGGCATGATTGTGTCTTTTTTGTGTGTTTTTTCTGCAATTCACTTTCAAGTTTGATTTATTAGATAGATTTTTAATATCCACAAATGCTTGGACTACTTACATGCAAAAAGCCCATTCTCACTGGATAAAAGATCGATAGAATGTAGTAGGATCAGACAATTTGCCAAAAAGGAGTATCTCGAGTATTCTTACAATCACCTAGGTAGGTAGCCACCATGGTTTAAACTTATTCCCTTTAGAAAACTGTTTGAAAACACATTTCTTATAACTCCAATCACGACTACTAAAACAACTTTACAAAAACATTAACTTTATGTTTTTCTTAATATTAAGAAAGTAATTTTTAGAGAAAAGAAAAAAAAAAAAAAGTTTTCTATGAACAGTCACTTTAGAACTACAAAGAAACTTTTGCTAATAGTAAAACATAGCTTTATTTTCCGCGATTTATAAACCATCCAGGGAAACTCTATAACTTGAATTGTTCCCTGTATCAATATATATATATATTCTTTTTCCTTTCCAAAGAAATAGAAATCTAATAAATAAAACTGTCTTCAAACAGCCGCTTACAATTTAAAATCTCAGTACCAAGTAAGTACATAAGCTTACAGTTTTTTTTTCAATAACAACTGATAAGTAATTAACTAATAGAGAATTTCTGGCTCCACACTACGTTACAACAATAATTTATTAGTTAAGCACTCCCTGAATAGCTTTGAACAGAATATATGAAATATTTATACCTCGCTGAAAGGTTCCTTTACATCATCTCGCTCAACACTGCTCTCCTGAAACAAAATACAGCCAATATATCCTCCACATCAATGACCACTTAAAGTAAGGAGATAAAGTTCATGTAGTTTTCTTAGCACCAAAGCAAAGACATTGGATGAGACAATTATATGGAGTGATCTTGAAGAAAGCTTTATTGAGTTACTTGACTCACATGATTCGGGAAAATAACCATATCAACATTTGCAGGCACATCAGCAAGCAATTGTCTCAATGAGTACTCCCGTGTGCCCACAGGGTGCATTAGTTCATCAGTATCCAGATGGATGATCCAATCCATACCAGCATTCTGTTCAATAAAAAACTTAATTATCATTGAAAAAGTTCACATTGAAAAGCTGCATGGAAAATAAAAATACAATACCCTGGCCATGACAATAGCCATTTCCATGTTCAAAGACTGCTTCACGAACAACTCATGATTACATGGTTTGTAGAAGAAACTTGACAGCCATGTCTCGTTCCAAATCCGGCTAAAATTCAAACAAATAATATCAATAAAAAATGGTCAAAGATCATTTTTTCTGGAAAAAAAAAAGTGTTTTACAGAAGAGAATTCAGAAGCAGAAAAAATGGAGAAGAATCTCCATAGAGCCACACAACAAAGGCAATGGTGGGTTGTCTATTGTTTTCATTTATTTCTGCTTGTGCAGACACAACACAGGATATTTTGATGGGTGGTGATGTAGAGAGTATAATTTAGCTTCCTCAATCAGCTTGTGGAAAGATTAAAGTGGCTATCAGGATTTGAAAATAAAAGATAAAAAATTAAAATCAACCATTGAAGGGAATAAAAAGGGAAGGGAAAGGAAGGTTATTCATATCTGAAATTAAAAAAAAAAAAATTACTGACCTTCTTGCTTGCTGCTCTTCTAGCTCTTTCGTTCTGTATATAACACTTACTCCCTGAACACAAATAGGTTTTACTTGAAGACGACAACTCCAGAAGACAAAAGATAATTAATTAACATTGAGTTCACAGTGGAGGCACAGCACAGAACATGGCTCACCGGAATGGATTCTAAAACTTTGGATACGTTTGGGGAGGCAGCCTTCCCTTCCACAAAAAGGAAAAAGTTCGAAACTCCAATGACCTTGTGGAAAAAGATCCAGGGTAAAGTCTGCTCTAAACCAGCAGAAGTGCTTGTTGTGATGCATATCTGATAAGTAGAAGGTTTCAGAGCGAGAAGTTAAATACAGCAGTCTGTGTTCATCGGCAACGAAAACGAAAACGAGTAGATCTCTTTCCCTGAAGCTGTCAAACTAGCAAGGCAAAGGTACTATACAATCCTAATCAAAAAATGAGAAAACTCACATACAAGATCCATTTTCTCAGCACATCATCAGCGCCTCACGCTATAGTTAAACGAAACCAATAGATATATATAGCTTGCATTCGTCAGAATCAAATAGAACATCCATTCGAATAAAAAATGAGGGAATTGGACGGGATCCAACAAACATAAGACAATAAAAACCAATCCTACACCCGACGACAAAGAATTTGGCCACCATAACAAGATCATATAAATTGCCGCCAGAAAAATCCAAGGCATGAAAATAACTTATAGTAAAAGAACAAAGACTCACCTTGGGCTTCAGATCCGTGCCGTAGTCGAACTTCCAGTCTCGGTAGTAAGAAAAGGCAGGGGAATGGCTCCGACCAAGAAGATCAACACAATCGGAACGGGAAGAATGAGAGGGGATAGAAGGAGCAGTACTGGACATACCGGGGAACTGGTGCTGATCGGGGGACCAGCGGGTAACAGGGTCGTTGAGGCCGCCCCGCCATTGGAGGAGGAAAGCGAAGCAAGCAAGAGTCAAGGGGAGAAGAGTTAAGAGGAAAAGCAAGCGAGAAGAAAGAATGTGAGAGGAAGAAGGAGAAGTAGAAGAGGAATTGGGTCTCAGGGAATATTGACCCGCCATGTGTTGTTGCAGAAGGAGACTGTTTGGCGCATCGACACACACAGAGAGAGTAATAGAAATTTAGAGAGGGAGAAAGTCGAACGACCGGAGGAAGAAGGAACCGTTTTGTCGTTAGGTGTTAATGGCCGATTTCAATTTTTTTTTTTTTTATAATTTTTTTATTAAGCAATTACGAATTTAAAATGCTTCAAAAAATATTATTATTATTATTTTCCTCCTCTTTAATTTATTTTTATTATTATTATTTTATTTATCTATTTCTTCATATGGTAAATCTTCGAAAAAGAAAAAAACTAATTATTGCATGTTACACAAGAAGTAGCCGTTTTTGGAGTAATTTCTTCCCATCAATCAATAAAAAAATAATTTCTTTCGTCTCTAAATTTTAAAATATTATATTTTCATCCTTGAATTTTGAGTTTCAAAATTTATACTTTTACCTCGTAATAAATAAAAATTATTAAACTAATGTCGTATATTAATGCACTTTCTAATAGAAACTAGGTTTGTAATTATTATAGTAAAATTAATTAGATAATTAACGGGTTAAGTACAAAATACCCAAGTTTAAGAACCAAATGAAAACTGAACTCAAATCTACGTTTTGAAATTTCGAGTAAAAGTATATCATTTTGAAACATATTGGCCTAACCAAACTAGACTTAGAACCTAGATACCGAAAGAAAATTTGTTTTCCAAAATTTAAATTAATAATGAAAAAATATATATTTATAACAATTTAAATAAATAAAAAAAAAAAAAGAAAAAACGGGAGAAAGTTTCGCCTTCATTTATTATGTTTCCATTCATGGTTGATATGTTTGTCTAATGGGAGGGTGGCCAAGTGTAATGCATGCCCATTCAGCCATGATTCCCACAAGGGAAGGTACAAGAAAGAGAAACTTAATATTATTCTGTCAACGAGTCTTGTTCATTCTTCTGGTCTATTTCTAAGGTTTTTAAGGCATTTAGTTTGTATTCTTGCGGTTCATTAAGCATGTTTTTCTGATCTCTTGACGTGTTTATGAGCTGTTTCTTGGTGGTTTTCTTGTACTATATCTTTGTTTAGCCAACCATTTCTCCTGCATTTCACTTCCAATTTTGGAAAAAAGTTGACCCTATTGGGAATTGAGTGTCAGAAACGTAAGGATAAATACTCACCTAATGCACATTACCTACTGTTTCGAGATGAGTGTCTTAGGCGACTTCCTTTGACATGGGTTTTGTAAGTACAGTGTTGGCTTGCCAAGGGTTGGATCATACACTCGCTATCCGGTATAGAGTCTGTAAATGATATGTCATGGACATAGGAGGGTCTAATACCTCGATAGAATCCAGATGGATTGATGTTTGACGGTGGTTTAATGGAAGTTAAAGCTTCCGGTATAGGAATTCTTGTGTGGTTTCTATGATAGGTACGTTTTTGCTCAAATAGTTCACGAATCCCCTAATCCAAGCCTTGCTACCTCATTAGTAGAATAATTTTTATATTGTTACCAAACTTAGCATTTTTCAAACAAACCTATTTTCTCATGTAGACATAAAAAAAGGGTTCTAGGAAGATTACCATCACAGACTCTTGAACAAATGAAGACTAAATTACCAGAATTTGAAAGAAAAGGAAGTTTTGTTCTTCCAAGAAAAATCTAGCACCAGGAAATGGAGTACCAAAGATACTGGCAGAAAATAACATAAATTTACCACAATTAATTTATTGAGGTATGAACTGAATGAAAAATGATGAAATGTGAGATGAAAACCAACAAAAAGTGACCCAACAGATAGGCGATCCTAGGAAGTTTGAAATATCACATCCCTAACAATGGGGAGAAGATCAGAAGAGTTGATCTAACATCACCTTTTTATTAACTTGAGCACATCTCCTACCAGATGAAGGGATCCAGTGACAAGAACCTGAATTCATCACAAAATTTGCTCAAGTAAACAACTACATTTTGATTTCTTTTTCCTTTTTTTAATTTTTTAGAACAGCACTCATAATGAACTGCATGAAATACAATTCTGAAGAACTCAACTAAGCTCAAAGTAAAAGCTGATCATGGAGAAAGGGGCAGAAATAAGATCAAATGAATGACTTAGATATCTATCACCCTATGACTATCCCCAACTTAAGAACAAACTAATTAACAGAGTTAAAAGGTCAAAAGAAGATATCACGGAACTGAAATTTCACAGCCATTCACAGAGTGAGATTTAAATATCTCATACCTGTAGTCTAATGGATGGGGATTCTCTGACGCAATCTCTCAGCCAATTTATCGCCAATGGCAATGAAGGCATCACTGCGCTGCCACTGAATTTGTTATCCGAAAGACTTGAGTGAAAGTCCTCATACAGAGGAGGCAAACCTCGCTCGTGGTCGAGCTTAAGATCCTTTTCAGATATAGAATCTGGTTCTGCAGAAGCAGATGAGATGAAAACCATGTTCGATCAAGATTCAAATAAAACAATTAAACCATAAATCATTAGTTGAATCATATATTAAACCACCATTTAGAAAAGGAAAGCCTCCATGAATTTAGCATTAAACTATCAATAGCCTTATAATGCTGTTCATCCATGAAAAGTGTCCAACGAACTGCTATTGTGGAATCATTTGAGTAACAGAACCATTGCTTTGCTGCATGATCAGATATAAGTATAGTTCTAGGGAACTAAGTATAATTATCTTGCCTGTGAGTTGCAACTTTTTTATAGCAATACAAAAACTTCAAAGAGGGTTATCATGCACAGCCAACCATTACTTTGCTGCATCATCACATTCGGTCTGCGAGCTTTTAAAAGTTGCTAGGTGTTTGTTTGGCTCAAAATAGATTGTTGTTATATAATGGAGGAGGTTCCTTTGCATCTATCACTTTGAGATAAGGGTTAAATCTTGTGGAAAGCAGGGTTCTTCTTTTTTCCTTTATCTTTTTTTTTTTTTTTTTTTTTTTTTTTTTTTTTTTTTTTTTTTTTTTTTTTTTTT